AAGACTGGAAGAGGATAGGAAGCCTGGTAGTGGATCTCAGCGCATTACGACGCTAAAGGAGGACAGAAATATTGTCATTGATGCAAGACGAACCCTTCCATTGTGCCCGAAAGATCCTACTTGAAGTACATGATGTTTTGGCAAGTCCTTTATCAACACAAAGGATTCGTAATCGTTTGTGGGAAGTTGGCCTTTCATTGTATACCCCTTTAAGACGTATCGTATACCCCGTAGCAACAGCCCGCCACCAGCAACACAGGTGAAGCGAGCGCCTAGAAGAGAACGCCAATTGGAATGCTGTTAAGTTTACCGATGAGTCGCGTTTCTGTCTGCATAGTGATAGCAGCGCCGAACAATCTACTGAGAACAAGGGATGCGTACTATGCCCCAGTTCGTGCTCCCTTCAGTGCATGAGGTTCCCGCATACTCGGTTGTCACGCCTCTAATCGCCAGTACCGATGGGCAGGGGCGGGGGCGGATTATCTTTTCCGTCTCTTATGATCAGAGCGGGGGAACTCACTCCTGCCCTGTCTTTGGTGCTGTCCAGACGATTTTAATTAGAAATTTTCTTTCAAGGTGAGTCAAGGCACCCCCTTAGTTATTCAAGGTTTTTTTATTTGTCCCAGAAAACGTATTTTGTTTCTTTAAAATTTGAAGTTGAAATTTTATTTGTAAATACATTTTGAGTTGTGATTTTGTTTTGTTATTTTTTTTAAATTTAAAACTGGCGAAAGAGCCGGACCATAAATTTTTGGTACACCTTTTGAGGTCAAGCAAATACCCAAAGGGGTTACACGGTCATCCTAAAAAGTACTCTTAGGAACTTTAACGTCCGCATCTAGCCTATTCGGCCTTATCGGACGTTTTGATTTGGTGTTACTGCCGCAGCATTGGTGTAGAGGCAGCTCAGCCCCGAAGGGCAAAGACAACCTCGTTCCCCGCTTGACCATTCCTAGAGGTCGGGTCCCGATTAAGCATCGAACCGTATGCCGCGCGCATAGGGCTACCTAAGCCTAAATACATCAGCTCGGTCTCCCGCACGCTCCCTAGATAGAGAAAGCTCTCCCAATATCTCCCAGAATATTGGGGCTTCTCTAGCGTCGAAACTTCCGGATCCGCTCCGGCCGCGGTTTCGTTTAAATTAAAGTTTCTACCACCCCCTAGAGGAGTACCGCCTACGGTAAAGCCTCCTATCGAGCTCAGCCTACACCTACGCGCAAAGCATACTCGAGTAGGAGCAACCGATTCACGACCCGTTCCCATCCGTCAGTACTCACGCATGCGAGAGACTATCCAGCACAATCATCGCGTCCTTAACGCCTATATGCTGCCGTCCGATCCGCCGTATCCCATGAGGCAGGGTGTATAACGGGGGTCATACGCAAGTTTCGTGCTAAGGTCACAGATAGAAGACAGCATCTTCTCAAAGTTCCCGCCAGGGGCGTCACCACGAACCACTACGAGTCCATTCCCAGTGTAACAAGAGCTGAATCTAGGAACATTTCTGTTACCCCGTAGTACGTAGTAGTTATGCACCCTCCCCCGTCTAAGCAGACAGGACCTGGTACCCTAACCCTCGTGTGCCTCTGATAAGGCACCCGCCGCCCATGCCGACCCGAGGTCGACACGAGTACAGCTTGTGCTTTAGAGAGGTTGCCACGCCCTCTAGGCTACACCTTTATTTTGAGCCCGGACATCCCCCTTGTAACCAAGGGTTGGGAGGGGTCACAGAAAAGAGTGACGGAACCTGGATTGAGAAAGGGACGTGGATGAGGACTCGAGGTGGACCGTTCGGGGTCTCGAGCCTCAACCACACTCTCCCACCCGTCGTCGCTGTAGTTCCACATTGAGTGGGCCACAACTCCCTGGGTGGGTCCCTTCAGTGCAGTTTGGAAGAGGCGGTGTAATGGTTTGCGCTGGGATTTTACATTGGAGGACGAACTGGACGCCATATTATTGAAGGTAACCTCACCGCACTCCATTATGTCTAAGAAATTACCGAGGAATACATCCCTCAAACCACGGATCTCGTTGGAAGGAATTTTCGATTTCTGGATGACAATGCCTGACCTCATAGAGGCAGAGTTGTTCTTAGAATGCTTAGAAAACCTGGGACTTTCCCATCTGCCTCTTCTCCCTTTGTCTCCAGGCCTCAATCCCATTGTGGGATGCGTTACAGAGAAGGCTTTTTGATTACCATCGGAAGCCAGTTGACCGGAGAATTTGGAGTCAACACCCTTATTAATAGTTTGCCGAACAGATGCAAATTAAATTAAATTAGTTTTAGCTAATGGAGGATATTTTACATAGTATTAATTGTGTAAAAAAAATTATTGTGCCCAAAAAACAAAATTATGGAATTAAAACCTTCTATTTTCAAAAAAAATCCCTTAATTAAACTTTCCTTCAATAAAAAGCGTAATAATAATAATCTAATAAATGTTAATACAATTTGTAATAAAATAAAATGCTAGGGAAAGTAAATACTACAAAATTGGCAATATCTCTATTCATTTTTGAGCAGTTTATATATTATATTGGTCTCCAGATTAGAACGCTTTTTCAAGACTTGGTGCGAAGTTCTTTATTGGCTACTGCGGCTCTAGAATATTTTTTCATCAAGTTATCCAAAATATTGAATTTGGAGACAGAAATGTATTCCAAGGTACTTAACCTTCGCCCTTTGTATAGGTGAGTTATTTATTCAGGAAAAGTTCTTCATGTAGGCTTACGATTACTAAATATAATTGACTTAGTTTTATTGTTGTTAGGTCTAATTTTCATATTGAAAAAAAAGTATTTGTAACAGTTTGTTCATGCACTGGTTATGTACTGTTATCGGTAAATTGAGCCAACTTCGATTTTGACTTCAATTTACACACAGGTTATAAAGATGTTAATAAGGCCGGACCCAACAACGGCCCTTGGGGGATCCCAGGCTATGGTTCCTTAGTGAAGATTTAAACTTTATTTAGACACACAATTTCTTCTTAGGCAGAAAATTACTTATTAGATCTATTAATTAATTATGAAATTTGTTAGAGAGAAGTTTGAGGACTAATTCTGTGCCAAATAAGCATATTTATACTTTATCTATATTTTTTATATGTGCACTTTCAAGTATTTTGTATAGTGCTATTACAAAACATAAAAAAATAAAGGGGTTAATAGTGGGTACTTCAAGATAATAAAAGATTTTGTTTGCAAAAAAAGTAATATAGCTTTTGATTTGATACCTCAGGAATGTAATGGTCATCGTTATGAAAAACTAACAACTATTTTTGTCTTTTTAGATTAATGTACTAATAAACAAGAATAGTACTTCTTCACATAAGAGTCAAAAGTGAATGTCAGATCTTTCGGGGCGGTTTGTAGTAGGAAAACTCCCTTTACAATACTTATAAATCGATATTCCTTTCTCTCCTTTCTTTTCGAAAATTCCAAACAGAAATGTCCTAGTTGGTCGTGACTCGTGTTGTGCGTTTTGCGCCTGAGTTAGTTCCACCAAATGGTTTTCGTGGAGTCGCCTTTTGCCTTTTCGTTTGAAATATTCCCAGTACAATCTACTATTGTTTAAACGGTAAGAAAGGGAAAATTTGATAAAACGTATTTAAAACTCCGAGGTGCTCGGTTTCAGTGGCTTTTCCGCAGAGAATAATGGGCGCAGGACGGAATCTTATCGTCTTCAACGCCCTGCTACTTCTAATTTCAGGTATTTTTCGACACTATAAATAATTATTAATAATAAATTTTATAGCTCTGTAGTAGATTTAATGTGAACAGTTGGATGCGATTTTTAAACCGCCTTGAAAAGAAAAAATGCCGGTTGTTCAACCAAAAATGAAATATTATAATTTTTTGGTTTCTATTTCAAAAACCGAAAAATTAAAAAAGACAAATTAGTCTTAAAAATATCCGTTATTTACAAAAAAACACATAAATTATAATTTTTTAATATAAAATCAGGGACAGGCCCTATATGAAGGAAAAATAAAATACTCAGTTCTTTCGTCAAGCTTTTGAGAAATATATCCCCTTCATCAGGACTTTGAAACTATTATTGATAATTCACTCACTGTCAAAAATATGCTTAAGACCTCGCGATCATAAATTTCAGTAAAGTAAGTTGTTCATATTTATTGTCAATAATAATTTCAAAGAATTGATGAAAGAGATATATTTCTCGAAACCTTGACGAAAGTAATTGTTTCTTTTTCTTTCAAATTGGCTTATCCTTGATATTTTAATGCAAAATTATATTAATAAATTTTATTTAAATCTGATATCAATTATAACTATATAATATTATAAACAATCCATTATATTTCGTGGTCCGATTGACCAAATAACTTCTTTCAATTAATTAATCTTTTTATGTAAGGTATTGGTTGAAATGAAAAAGTTAATGCCACGAGCGGGATTCGAACCCACGACCTTCGGCTAAATACGCCGCTGCTGTAACCACTTTAGGCCATGATAGCTCAAGTGGTTAGAGCAGCGGCGTATTGAGCCGAAGGTCTTGGGTTCGAATCCCGCTCGTGGCACTAACTTTTCCATTTCAACCAATACCTTACATAAAAAGATTAATTAATTGAAAGAAATTATGAACAATGCAAATTTTTTACAAATAACATTTTATTAAAATGATAAACATTAATATCAGTTTATCAACGCTAGTTTGGTCAAACAGTTTCCTCCTTCTGACATAAACCTGTCATTCGATTTTATCATCAAGTTTTTATTTCAATTTCTCCCATCTAAGAATATTATTTAAAAAATATATATAAATATTGTTATGTGGAATAAGATGCTGATAATAATTTAATTACTTGATTTATACTTTGTATTTATAGTTAGGAACTCTCGCACTTCTTCCTTTAACATTTTTTCTAGTAACTCCTATTAACAAGAGAACAAATCATGAAATTAATGAATAATTAATACAACAATAATACTACATCATAAAAAAATTATCTAAGAAGTGCCAACAATATTATTTTTACTCAATTTATGTTGAAAACTCTATTGTAAGGAAAATCACTACTGGAAAAATGGATTTACATATGTAATAATTGTTGAATGACACCCGAGAATATTTTTAAATTTTAAAAAGCGCACTTTGGTGTTTAAGTTGCATTAATGGCGGTCTTGGAATTGCTCTGGCTAATAATGCAGCATTGACCTCCTTAGATGGCATATGCACATTTTACTGTACTTTCTCGCCTTAAAGACGCCTGCCCTTTCGGAAAATGTTTCTAAGCGTATTATAATTTTTTGAAGTACGATCAATCGGATTCCCGAAAGCATAGTAGTCACGACACACAAGAATGACACTTCTACGCAGAAAACAATCACTGAGCCCTAAAGATGATCTCAATAAAGATAGAAACAATTAATTAAGGTTTTTAGTTGTGATGAAAAAAAGTTAATGGCACGAGCGGGATTCGAATCCACGATCTTCGGCTAGATACGCCGCTGCTCTACCACTTGAGCTATCGTGACCTCGATCCACTCGGACATTAACTTCACATCTAAACTTCACCTTTTTTTCCCCCTCCTTTTTGCCATTTTGCAAATGTCGCGTAATCGGATTGGATTCTCGACGACAATTGAAATGGCCACGGAGAGGTTTAGTGAAAAATGGCAAAAAGGAGGGAAAATTCATGAGGTGGAGTTGAGATAGGAAGTTGATGTCCGAGTGGGGATCGAGGTCACGATAGCTCAAGTGGTAGAGCAGAGGCGTATCTAGCCGAAGATCGTGGGTTCGAATCCCGCTCGTGTCACTGACTTTTTATCTCAACTAAAAACCTTAATTAATTGTAATGTATTAATTGGTCAAGCGGACCACGAAATTAGTGAATTTAGAAACGTTGGCACGATAAAGAAAACGTCTTTCTAAAACCTACTTCACACCAGACGGCATCTCACGATCTCCAATAATCGTTAACTAAGGGCCACTAAACACACGAAATAGTGTAACTTAGGCCTCAGTAATAAATTAGTTTTTTTCTTACTTATAATGGCACAAAATCTGTACATTACTGAGATGATAGATGAGAAATTAAGCTTTAAAACGATTGTAACAATGTTTTCGTGAAAAAAAAATCCTGGGAGAAAATTGATCTCTTTTTAACGCGATGAAAATTCTTACTTAAGAGTTGAAGGGTGCTTAATACGAATCGTAATTTTTTTTCCGACAAAAATGTTTTAATTTATTTTTGATCTATTTAACTGGAAGCATAATTTTTTATCTGAATATCTTACATATTGTTTTATTATCCTAAAAAATTATTCTACTAATATCTATAATAATCCATTTATGTTTAGTGGTCTAATTGATCAAATTAGTTATTCCAATTAATTATATCTATAATACATGCCCACAATGATATAAACCCACAATTTAAAAAATATATTTCAATTACTTGAATTTTTAATAACTCCTAGGGCAACGCTCGGACACAGTTATTTTTCCAACTAGTATCCCACAAAAAGCTTCATTAAAATCGGTGAACCCAAGTCCGTACACTTCGATGTTGTATAAAATCCTTTCTTTAATTGTATATGACAAAATACGAAAAAAATTGAACATATTTTCCTAACCAATTCGGCGTTTTCTTGTTGTCCTTCTGGATTTACTCAACCGTGACTAACCTACATTATTATCCTTTTATCATGGAAATGGACAAAGACCGCAGCCGTCACGCCAAGGGACGACCAGGGAAGTTCGTGCTAAACCGGAACGCTTCCGAGGGCCGACAAAGCGAGAACATGAGGACGTACACCCGCCAATATTAAACGACGTTACAATTAATTAGTAGGTTATTTCGATATCGGCCAACTTTGGTTATACTCTGGTTTAAGAAATTATTGGCTATGTGGTCTACGTATATAGTCTATCTATCCTATGGACTACATACCCAATAATTTCTCAAACCAGATACCTTAATTAGGAAACATTTTTAGACCCATTAATATTTCCAATAAGTAATTTTGTGTTGATAAAGGGTCTAAAGGATCCCCAGAGTCTAAGGAAATGAAAGAAAATCGGTTTTCAGTTTTTGTTAATTTAGTTTTGATGTTATGCTAGAAAATAGGTTTAAACTTTAACATTAATTGGATGGGTAATTCGGTCGTTTCCGATTATTTTAGATTACCCTTGATATTTTGGTCTGTGAGGAAGCAAGAAGACGAAAACAGACCAAAACAGTAGGATAAACAAACCGAAATGAGCCGAAATGACTTAACTACAGGTTGATCATTTCGTAAGCCCCAAAAGGAAATCTCATAATTAATTAAATCGTTAAAATAACTTAAAGGCGACTAATTTATATAAATAGGTAATTTTATTGGCTGGTCAATTTCTTCAATTTTATATTACTAACAGCCGTCGCGGTATACGGTGAATTTTGCCCGTCTTCAACTGCAGAAAGGAAGAACCCAAAATAGGCGATTCCATTTTTCACTATTCTAATTTCAATCAATTAATTATTCTTTCTAAGGCCTTGGTTGAAATAAAAAGGTCAGTATCACGAGCGGGATTCGAACCCACGACCTTCGGCTAAATACACCGCACTCTACCACTTGAGCTATCGTGACTTCTCGGACACCAACTCTCCAACTCAAGCTACAACCGTTAGAATTTTCCCTCTTTTTGCCATTTTTCAAATGTCGTGTAATCTGTTTGATCCTCGGCGACAAATGAAATGGCCACGGAGAGCTTTAGTGAAGGTGTACTTCATTTAAACTTATTAAATTCACTAGTTTCGTGGTCTGCTTGACCAATTAATATCTTTTAATTAATTAAGGTTTTTAGTTGAGAAAAAAGTCAGCGATACGATCGGGATTCGAACCCACGATCTTCGGCTAGATACGCCGCTGCTCTACCACTTGAGCTATCGCGACCTCGATCCACTCGGACACTAACTTCCCATCTCAACCCCACCTTTTGAATTTTTTCACGTTAGTGTCAGTTAGTGTCCGAGTCGTGTAATCGGATTGGATTCTCAGTTGAGTAGCAGCGTATTTAGCCGAAGGTCGTGGGTTCGAATCCCGCTCGTGACACTGAATTTTTTATCTCAACCCAGACCTGAGAAAGAATAATTAATTGATTGAAAGAAGTATCTTACTCACTTAGTAGACTACGAAAACGTAAATGGATTACTATTCTAAATGTTGAATTTTTATAGTTTAAAGGTTTATAAAGGATATTATTTCATAAAAACTATTCACATATTACAATATAAGCAATTTTTCTATTTTGTATAAAATGTTTTTACATTAACTATTAAAAATTTCATTTTAGTGGTTAGCTCGTTATCAACTTCCGAACTGAAACAGTACAAACAACCAGACGACGTTTTAGATGGTTTTTATGACAGATTGGAAAATACCGATGAAAACCTGTGTACAAGAGAATGCGACGGGAAGCCTAAAATTTGCTACTACGAACTAACTGTCGAACTTTACACGTCGATGGGATCGTACGTCTTTCTTTTTTAGTAATATAGTTTCAAATATATTAATAATATATATTTTTGATTAAGAGCATGTGAAAATTGTCCGTCCAATTTCACCGCCTGCGCCAATCCACAGTGCGTGACAGCCGATGGATCCCAACGAGGAATATTGACCTACAACAGGCGTTTACCCGGGCCATCAATCCAGGTAAAGAATGGGTTATTCTGTTTTTATATTTTTATTATGTCTATTTTTTTTTTTTAAGGTGTGCGAAGGGGACATGGTGGTGGTTGACGTGCACAACAACCTTCTAGCCGCCGGGACCTCTATCCACTGGCACGGGATTCGACAGTTGGGTACACCTTTTTCGGATGGAGTGCCAAAAATTACTCAGTGCCCAATTCCAGCACGAAATGACTATCGCTACTACTTCAATACTACACAAGCAGGGACATACTTTTATCATTCGCATTCAGGTGAATAGTTACGTAAAGAAACTCGATTATCGTTCAATATCGGGTATTGGCTGTAAAACACCCAGCCTTGGTAAACGCATCATTTCCTGCAGTTTAATGCAGACAGGAAAAACTTTTCACTCCAATCCTCCTAAAAAAGTAATGTATGAGAGTTACAACTTTCATACTATCATACGTCCATATCGATCGAGTTATCACTAATGAATTGAATTTCCTGCACAAATATAAGTCCCATTAACCCACAGAGATTTGCTTCGTCAGACTGAGGCTGATTTATGATGAATGCATTAACTTGCAGATTGAAGACAACAAGCAGTCTAAATCTAAATCTAAAGATTAACGTAGCAATCGTGTTACAGACATAATCACATCCATAGAAAAGGATCTCGGGGTCCTCTCGATGACGAACAGGCTTTTGATCAAGTATGTCACCTGGGCATACTCACACTCACATCATAACACTTTTCCTCATCCTTAAGTCCTACATGGCTGGCAGGTGCTTTAAAATGCAGACGTGGACATCCCTACAGAAACATCCTCGGCAGTCATATTACTCAGTATATTCTGCTATATCCCTTTTCATCCCGACACCTCTTTACGAACATATGCTTTATATTAAAGCTCACCAAACAATTTCACCCTCTTTCCTACTGAACAAATTATCAGCTATCTTTGGCTGTATTTAGACAAACGACTAACCTGAAAGAATGTACCAATGATGCCAATTACTTACAAGACTTGGTAGACAACAGAACTAAACTCTCTCGACAACAAAATATTCATATACAACTCAAACCTAAACCAGTACAGACTTATGGCATAGAACTATGGAATGCAACCAAACCTTCCAGTCTTAACAGAATCCAGACCCTACAATTACGAATCCTTAGATCCATTGTTCCATTATTCCTACCAAACCATAAACGACGACCTAAAAGTACTTTATAAAATAAATTGCAAGAGCCAGTTACAGAAATGCCATATTAACCTCCAATTTCATTCTAATCTCTACATGCAACAAGATTTCAGTGATTGCGAGTGATTGAAATTAATCAACTTATTGCACAGATTGTTGTGTAATAAATAAGTTTTAAAGAGTTGGAAAGTTCGTTGTTTGATTATAAATGTTGAAAATGTGCCATAAATTACATTCTTCATAAAACAGTTTTTTTCTCTTGTGCAGTTGATTAATATTGAATAACTCTTTGTTGCATTATTTGTTGCATATTTATATTTTTTCTAGGGCTTCAGAAGGTAAACGGTCTATTTGGCTCACTAATTGTAAGAGATCAAAAGAAGCACGAGGCTTTTGGCTATCTATATGACTACGACTTGCCTTCACATGTCATCTTGGTGAATGACTGGATCCACAAAGATGCCAAACAACATCTTCCTGGGCTGAATGATACCGAATTATCTCCAAACTCATACCTTATCAACGGAAGAGGGATATTTGTTGTAAGTCCTGTAAACTGTAACAAGTGTGTTCCCAATCAGAATTTTATCTCGTTGCAGCCTCCAGATGTGAAACAATCACGATATGTGAAGACGCCGGTTTCCGAATTCAGAGTAAGTAAAGGAAAACGGTACAGGTTCAGATTGATAGGAAGCACCTGCCTCTCTTGTACGGTCCAAGTCAAGTTTTTCGGACACAGGTTAACAACAATTTATGCAGACGGAGGTGGGCCAGTCATCCCTACTACTGTTGATACTGTAGAATTGAACTCAGGTAAGGCATGACCAAAAATAAAAGCCCTGTTGAGAAAAGTATCGCACCCACAGAAAAGATTCTTCAGAATTCACTAATTTCGTGGTCCGCTTGACCAATTAATACATTACAATTAATTAAGGTTTTTAGTTGAGATGAAAAAAAGTTAATGGCTCGAGCGGTATTCGAACCCACGATCTTCGGCTAGATACGCCGTTGCTCTACCACTTGAGCTATCTTGACCTCGATCCACTCGGGCATCAACTTCCTATCTCAACCCCACCTTATGAGTTTTCCCTCCTTTTTGCTTCTGATTTTTGCTTTTGATTCTTCAGAATCCTTAACAATTATGTTATTTGAAACATTTTTTATTTCAAAAGGTCTGCTTTTGATGTATTCAAATAATTGAATATTTTAAAAAGACTTTTTAAAAGAATAATCGTATGGGCGTATTCGTTTGGAATAAAATTGATAGGGGATCATCTAGAAAGCAACCCGCATGATCCCTGAAAATTTCATAAAAATTGGTCTTATGGTTTCGGAGTATTGACGGTTACCATAGACAAAGACAGACACGGAAGCAAATTTGTTCAGAAAGGTTTGAAACACAAAATGCGAGTGGAAATTTTGGAGGACAAACATTTTTTTGACTTCTCGCATGAACACAAGCCACCTCTACCTTCTGCAGTCCGGAAGCCAAAAATGACAGCTTTATTGGATAATTCAAATTTAAATTATTATTCGAAACTCCACCTTTTTCTTTATTAAAAATGTCTTTCTGCAACAGTTTGATCAACTCTGACTCTCGTATTCTTGGTGTGTTGTGAAAAAAAGTCTGACTTTTCAAAAGCAATAATCAATGAACGGTATCAGGTTAAGTATACTATTCAACTTCAAAAACTTTTTCAAAATATCTTTTAAGTTTTACACAGTTTTTTACTAGCTGTTTAATTCATACTCCTGTTCACAAATAAGTTTGCCCAATTAAAGCAAGTAGTATAATGTTTTAGGCTGTAAAGCGCGCACACATACAAAATTTATTTTCATTTTCAATAATGCTAAAACTTAAATTGGACTTTTGAATCATTGCTGAAATGTGCCCTAAAACCCAATTTTATTTTTAGGAGATAGATTTGATGTGATCTTGAATGCCGATCAGGAAGTTGACTCTTATTGGATATTAGCCAGGGGCTATGGGGCATGTGAAAATGCTCAGCAATTTGCCATCTTGAGGTATAACGGTCATAGAGGAAAGCCGTCAGCACGATTTCCAGGGTTTAGTTCTGTACCTAAAGGAATTGTAAGTAAAAAAACAAAATTCCTGTGCTAATCCCGCTCATATTCATATATTTATAGTATTTCGGATTTTAAGAATTATCATGTGGGTGGGAATACATAAATAAACATAAATAACTGTAAGAAACAGTTTTTACCATATTTTACATGTTTGGTAATGCAGGAGAAAATGCTAAGCATTTTGTTCCTCGTTTAATTCTGTAATTTTACAGACTTACTACCCAACCAGTCTATTTTTTAAAGTAACTGATAGCTATTTTTTAAAAGATGATAGTTATTAAAATAGCAGTAGTATCAGCTAGGAAGGAAATTTAAAAATAATATTTTTTTCTTTTTTTTATCAGAGTTAATTCATTTACATATACTCTCATTTTAATGTGTTGAGTTGTTTAGACAATTTATCTATTCGAGACGGAAAAATCATTTTCATATTTACATTTTTCATAAATGTAGTCAGTTTGGCGATTAAAGACAATAGGCACATGAAATAAAGATTATTTTTTAAACATATACTTGCACATTGAACAACTTTAGTTATTCTGTTCATTCTTACTGCAAAAATAAACCACAAAAGTCCAGGCAGTTCATGGAGAAGATCATAACCAAATACTTCAGTCTCCATGAACCTAAGGAGGCGTAAAAAAACACTTTCGATGGTGCCTCCAATGCTGCCACTTTCTTTTAAAGATGTTTTTGTAACGTCAGGGGGATGGATCGTGGTGGTAAGTCCCGTGGTTGGGGAGTCCCGGCCTTAGCCGCCTCGTCCGCCTTTCATTACCCTCCAGACCTACGTGTCCAGGTTCACAGACTGTTTTGCCAAGATGCTCCATCTCTTGGTATTTCACCAATAAGAGTACAACGAGAGGGTCGATGTAGAACTTATTAAACTTTTAAGCAAGGTTAAAGCTTGTTTAAAATGAGATATTCAACGCTTTAGCTGATGTATTTGTCTATAGTTTTACCATCTAATTTAGCGTCAGATTTGAAAATGGGTTTAGAAAAACTGAATTTAACAAATTAGAAAAAGTCCTAGAGCAAGTGAATAATTAAACAATTTTGTCAATATTGCCGCCAATGCATATTTTATTTCAAGAGGAGCTGTTTTGTCAGGGCCAGGACCTTTTGGCATTTAACTCTAGTTAACTGATCAATAATATTTTCAACGATTATTCAGAAATCGTGAGATGCGGTCTGGTGTGATGTAGTGTCAGAAATTTTTTTTTTATTGTGCCAACGTTTCGATCTTTATTGAGATCATCTTCAGGGCTCAAAGTGTTTGTCTTCTGTGTAATTGTGCCATTCTTGCATGTCGTGTCGAGAGTGCCCACGATCTCAATAAAGAATGAAACGTTGGCACGATAAAGAAAATGTTTTTCTGAAACCTAGATCACACCAGACCGCATCTCACGATTTCTGAATAATCATCGACTAACGGTCACTAATCACCACACAAAAATATTTTCGAAGTGAAATTGAAAATAAGTTTTCACGAATTAATGGATAAGTGGGAATTGATATACAAGAACATTGCAAGATAGATACTAGAAAAATAATCGGCATGTAAATCTGCTATAAGTGATGGATTATGTACCATTGTTTTCTTTTTTACGAGGGTATTTCAATTGCATGGTTATTTGAACTCTTGGGGTGCCGGTATTTTTGAAAAAATCCCATTTGTAAGTATGTCATTTTCGAATGCAAGACCGCTGGATTCGAACCCGGGACCTTTTTTATCTTACAGTGATGAGCGCCATCTTTAATATGTTTAAGTTCATTTATATTTTTTACGTAAAGTGTTTGAGTTGAAAAATTACTATCACGAGAGGGACGTGAACCCACAACCTCCCAGCCTAAACACCGAATTAAGTTCGATACAAAATTACACTTGAGATATGTGTATCGCATGGTCAAGAACGTGGTCGATAGGTCTGAGGATCTGAATTGAAGAAGAGGGATCATCCTCATGCGATTAAGAATAGGCCATGCGAGGTTGATACTTTTGGACCAATGCCCTTGGATGTTTCTAGCATTTAGGGAATTAGAAGTGCTAGATGATTCCAACTTAATTGAAGGGGCATACCTTATTTCTATATAGAGAGCAAGTCGGAATGCCATCTGGTGTGAGAATTGTGTTTCAACACTACAGCAAATTCACTAGTTTCGTAGTCCGCTTGACCAATTAATATCTTTCAGTTAATTAAGGTTTTTAGTTGAGATAAAAAGTCAGTGTCACGAGCGGGTTTCGAATCCACGATCTTCGGCTAGATGCGCCGCTGCTCTACCACTTGAGCTATCGTGACCTCGATCCACTCGGACACCAACTTCCCATCTCAACCCCACTCAAATAGATTACTCGACATTTGAATAATGACAAAAGGAGGGAAAATTCAAAAGGTGGGGTTGAGATGGGAAGTTGGTGTCCGAGTGGACGAGGTTACGATAGCTCAAGTGGTAGAGCAGCGGCGTATCTAGCCGAAGATCGTGGGGTCGAATCCCTGAGGGTTTATATGACCCTCTGCTGTTGCGAACCCTTGTAAAAAAAACCCATTTACGTTTTCGTAGTCTACTAAGTGATTAATTTACTTCTTTCAATCAATTAATTATTCTTCTAATAAGGTCTGGGTTGAGATAAAAAATTCAGTGTCACGAGCGGGATTCGAACCCACGACCTTCGGCTAAATACGCCGCTACTCTACTGAAAATCCAATCCGATTACACGACTCGGACACTAACTTGAAAAATGGCAAAAGGGAGGGAAAATTCAAAAGGTGGAGTTGAGATGGGAAGTTAGTGTCCGAGTGGTACGAAGTCACGATAGCTGAATTGGTAGAGCAGCGGCGGATCTAGCCGAAGATCGTGAGTTCGAATCCTGATCGTGTCGCTGACTTTTTTATCTCAACTAAAAACCTTAATTAATTGAAAGATATTAATTGGTCATGCAGACCTCGAAACTAGTGAATTTAATAAGTTTAAATGAAGTATACCTTCACTAAAGCTCTCCGTGGCCATTTCATTTGTCGCCGAGGATCAAATAGGTTACACATTTGAAAAATGCCAAAAAGGAGGGAAAATTCAAAAGGTGGGGTTGAGATGGGAACTAGTGTCCGAGTGGATCGAGGTCACGATAGCTCAGGTGGTAGAGCAGCGCCAGCGGCGCATCTAGCCGAAGATCGTGGGGTCGAATCCCGCTCGTGTCACTGACTTTTTTTTCTCAACTAAAAAACCTAATTAATTGAAAGACTATAGCAAATGTTTCGTTGTTCTGGTTTTTGGAGAAAACAGAGGGTTTTTCTTACTGTATATAGTACTTGGTAGGTATCTCATTTTGTGTATATTGAGAGTGAATGTATTTATTGTAGTGAATGGGCCAATGGTGGAATAGAATACCCTACTTACCCTCAGTAGATTAGTTGTTTCTGTGTAGAGGGTGATGGAGTAATATCGAGTGCAATAACACCTTATTTGAGTGAATGTTATTAAAATAAGAAAGACAGTGAGCATGAAATGATTGATTTTGAAAATCTGAATAGTAAAGAACATCATAGCTTGTTTTTTATTGAATTTCCATAACATCCCTCTTGTTTAAGGGGTGACATGAGCCTCCATTGCCTGCACTTTTGGTATGGACTTTTAACATTTATGGTTTAACACTAAAGCAACAATAAAATAAATGTCTTTAATAATGTATCTAACTTACAATTTAAAATATATTACAGTCATAAAATTGATACGAGCATTTCGACACACTGCTATATGCTTGTCACAGTGTAATATCTACTAGTAGACATCTGTCGTGACAATATATAAATATAATGGGTAGTGTAGTAATGCATCTGTGATTAGATCCAACATTGAGTTGCATTTCATGCAAGAGCAACTTAATTTGTTGCCTACCTGTTATGCACTCCACTTGAGACATCTAGTCCCAAATGGTTCCAACTTCTTTCCCAAGCATGTGCAATATTTATATAATATAAATTAAGTATTAATTAATTTTAAAAATCTGTATAGTAAAGAGCTTATTAGCTTGCTTTAAAGCAAATCCTCAAAATATGTCTTATGTTTATGGGATGACATGTCTTCATTGCCTGCAGTTGTAAGTACGGACTTTTGTTAACGTTTAATGCTAAAACAGCAATAAAAAAATGACTTTTGTAATGTATCAAAGTTACAATATAAAATATATCGCAGTGAATTAAATGCTAAATGTGCTCCATCCACTATGCACCACATAGTTTGATATCCACTAACAGACAGCCATATCATGACATATAACTATAATTGGGTAGTATAGTAATGAATCTGTGATTAGATTCAACATGCAGCAGCATTTCATGTAAGTGCAACATAATTTGTTGCGAATCTCTTTTGCAATCCACTTGAGGCACCTAGTCCCAGTTTGTTCAAATAATTTTTCCAAACAATGTTATTAAGTAAATATTAATTGATTTGGCATATCTGAATAGTAAAGAGCTTATTTAACTTGTTCGTTTATTGAACTTCAAAGCAAATCCTCACATCTCTTATGTTTATGAATGATGTCTTTATTACCTGCACTTGTTAGTATGGACTTTTTGTAAGGTCTATTGTTAAAATAACAATAAAAATAAATAAATTTCTTTAATAATGTACCAAACTTACAATGTAAAACATATTACAGTCAATTAAAATGCTAGACATTATGAAAAATGTACAATGAGCACTTCTGTCCATTTTCTATGGTTGTCTTGATAAGGAATCTACTAAGCGACATCCAAGTTGGGACAATATGTGAATGTAATTGGATAATATAGTAATGTATCCTTAATTAGATTCAACTTTAAACGGGCTTTTTTACAAGTGGAAATTAACCTGTCCATGTTATGCAGTCCATTTAAGGCACCTAGTCTCAGTGTGCACCCTGAGGCAGTTGACACTGCAGTACTTAGAACCGCAGGTGATGCAGTGGTAATTGCTAGGAAAGCCGCACGGAGAGCAGAAATTCCTCGTCGGGAAATTTGACGGTGGGACGACAGCATCCGTAAACTTGACAGCATCAGGACGTACGAGGGTTTCGTACTCGACCATCTGGCTAAAGGACTTGCGGTACTTAAATTTGTAGTAGTCGGCACTCTTGGACCTGCGGCTCTTCCTCGATTCGCGAAGCGTGTCGTGGAACTTAGGCGCGTTTTTGTTCGCCACCAAGTCGCCGTGGGGGTCTTCGTGAAAGTTGTCGCTGTCCAAGGCTTCGACGGCCTGCTTAGCGCGACGTTGACGAGTCGCCTCGTCCAAAATCCTCTTCTGATTTGAGTCTTTCAGCCGGCCAGACTCGCGATTCTGAACACCACGTGATGCCATCTCCTTCACGATGGTCTACAATAATAAACAGAAACCTTCACAGTAAATGTCATCGACAGTTTAAATCGAAAAAAGGGATCGAAAGTCGGTTCTGCAGAATCGATTGTGCAGACGACTCACCAGTCTTGGCGCCACAACAATACAATACACAATACTTTATTAGAATTAAAAGTCGAAAGAATCGACCCATTAGTCTCCTTTCTATCCTTGCCAAAATACTAGAAAAACTACTTCTCCGACGATTACTGCCAATAATTGAAAATTCTAATATCATTCCAGATCATCAGTTTGGGTTCCGCACATTTCACTCGACAACTCAGCAATTACATCGTGTTTCTGACAATATAGCCTCTTCCCTCGAACAAAAACAGCATTGCTTCTGTGTCTTTCTTGATTTAGAACAGGCCTTCGATCAAGTCTGGCACTCGCGCTTGCTTTGGAAACTGAGGAACATCCTCATACATACTATCTTATACTGAGATCTTATCTGAAGGATCGATTTTGTCGAGTCCGTCAGGGAACTGAATTCTCACCTTATGTACGCATAAGGGCGGGTGTTCCTCAGGGAAGCATAATTGGCCCTTTTCTATTTTCCATATACACTGCAGATATTCCTACACACGTTAACATTTCGACACACACATTTGCTGATGATACAGCGATTCTTACACGCAATTCGGACCCGTCAATTAACACTCAACACTTACAACACCTGAATGAATTAACAATACGGTTCACAAAGTGGAGAATAAAGGTAAACCTAACAAAAAGCACACAGATCAATATTACCTTACGTAAAAATATCTGCCCTGCGGTGAGTATAAATGGAATTCCATTGCCTACCTTGCGCGTTATCTTGAAATTTTCATGGATAAATGACTGACTTGGAATCCCCATACAAGACTGAAAAGACGCTATAAATTGTTAAAAAGACTACTCGATTCACGATCAAAATTAGACCTTGAAAATAAACTTTTAATTTACAAGACAATAATTAGACCTCTCTGGGTGTACGGTTGTGATGTGTGGGGCTCAACCAAGGATTCCAATTCCCAGCGTATCCAATCAATCCAATCTAAAATTCTCTGTCCTTTTTACGTTTCAAATTACACTATCCATAAAGACCTACACATCCCGTTTGTTTATGGACTCATCAAAACCCGATATAAAAAATTTCATCAATCACGAACACACACAGTAATGTATTCATACGAAATTTATCACTTTCAACCCTACCTGAAAATCCTCCAAGACGATTGAAGCGAAAGTGGCCCCGAGACCTTCTCATTGTGTGAAGACTGGACAAGATATCAGTGTGAAGGAGTGTTACCACTGGGCAACTTCTCCTACAAGAGCCTCAAATGATAATTAAACATATATGAACATATTTACTTAATACATCACTTGTAGTTGTAAATACTTAATAAATGTATTAAAAAAAATATAAAAAAAAAGAATTGATACAAAAAAAAATAGAAACACTGACACAAAGTAGAAGCCGTCTGCTGAGTTTACTGCATAATAAAACTTACAAATAAAGAAATAGAAAACAAAAGAAATTCGAAGAGAAAATTTACATATAGCAGGTGTATGAATTAAAATAGATGGAAATATGAGAAAAAAGAAGAAAACAAAAAGAATTAAATAAGAACAAATTTCCTCTTGAGAACTGACAGAGTACTAAAAAACAAAGCAGTAAAAGTAAAAGTATATGTACAGGGACGACAGTTATTGCATATCTGCATATCTCATTCTCCAGGCGTGCCGAGCAAAGGAAATTAGCGGTAAAGGGGATACTTGGTTAGAAGGATATTCCAGTATTTCAACTCTGGAGATGACTGTCTTTCCTAAGTAAGATAGCCGCAATTCTGAGAGACTCTCAAAAAGTGATATGAATCTTTCCTGGCGTGGCTGTTACAAAATGGACAAGTTTCGTGAGGATCAATCAAAACCCAGGGTTTGAATTTCAAATATAACAATTCCCCCCCATGTGTGGGATGGTAGGAACGAGCAACAAGACTCTCCTCTGTTTGGTCAGTAGGAAACAAAATTAAAAGAAGAGATATAGTGAATATTAAGGTCCTGGGAAAGGCTCGGTTTATATGATAGTAGGTGTTCATTGAAAAGTCCCTTATACAAGTAGAACCTCTCTGTGCTTTTCGCCTTATTCACAGCTTCTTCTTGATGAACTTCGTTTATTTTGTAAGGAAGCACTAAAAGGTCCGAGAGATTCTCTTGAACACCGGAATTTGCCAGGGGCATGAGTATTTCTGGGCTAGAAAAGCCCATTGATTATACCAGGAGATATTCTTTCTAGTTATCTGTAGAGCGATTATTTTAGGCAGTCAATCATCTGGGAGGCTCAGTATCTTTGACAGATATTTTAGGTGGAGGGAAAAGATTTACGGGAGAACTACTGTCCCTTATGAGGAGTAGGTACTTATGGTCACTGGTAGTGTATGACCTCCTATATGAATAACCATAAATGACCTCGATGTACGAGGATATGTATGTGGCATTGGCATAATAATGAGAGGCAAATTTGACATCTCTGGTCGAACTATAGCAAGAAACCTTAAACTTAACACACTTTAACACTCCCTTAAAACTTAACACTCCCTGGAAAAGAGTCTAAATAAATTTCAAATAAACCCATCAAAGGAAACAATTGTGCCATTCATCAGAAAAAAGAAGCCCAATTTTACAACTTTAACTCTGAGAAAGCAAGAAATAAAGCAATTCAAATAAGCTACTTGTCTAGTAATTTTTGACGAAAGGTTAACGTGGAATGCCTTATGCCCATAACTTACATTGTCAAACCTATGATAACCTATCATTGATGTATTGTATTGTTCAAAAATAGAACAAGGAAAAGCAGAGGAAATTCTACAAAAAATCCAAAGAATAGCATGTCTTAATATCATTGGTGCTAGTAAAACCAAACCTACAGCTGCAATCAAGGTACCATCCTTAACTATATGGCGGGAATTATGAATTCATCGGTCAGGGAAAGAAAGCATCTAACAAGTGCTAGCCACGCCAAAACAAGATCATTGACATCAAGACAAGATAAAACAAATGGACTTTAAAAAACATTCAAAATAATGATAGAAAAGAGAGCAGAAAGAAAAGAAGATAAAGTGGGGTCCCAAGTCCCCAAGAATTTCAGTGGAATTTCACTTGTCACTTATTTTTTTTATATTTATTTTTTTTTTTCCGCAGTACACATAGTATTAGATGAAACGAATGTCAAATTAGGGATGAGGTATCTTTTTTTCCATATTAGATGTTTTGCGTTTTTCAATTTATGTAGCAGAATCAACATCGAGTTTTGATATAACATCAGCATGTTGTTGCCATTCATCAGAAAAAAGAAGCCCAATTTTACAACTTCAACTCTGAGAAACCAAGAAATAAAGCAACTCAAATAAGCTACTTTCTCAGCAGGAGAAAGACACAATCGTTCGTTTACAAATTTTTGTGTGATTGTGCTTTTAGAAACAGTTGCTGTTTTAACTGCTGTTTAATTTTAACATTGTTTGGAGCTGGAGTCTTGGAAACCTAAATCTTTTCTGAAACAAAACTTTTTTTCTTCTAGTACCATACTTTCATTCAAAACTCAAATTAAAATAGTTAAATCAATTTTAAAAATCTCATAATGTAGTAAAATATGTGATAAAAATATGTAAAATGAAGAAAATATATAATAAAATTTAATTAACCCCAAAATATGTACAAAGATTAACATGTTTGAGATGGCTTCAAAATGTCATAAACATCAATAGTGATAATAAAAAAAGGGGGGTTAGGGATGGTAATATTTAAAAAAAATTATGTATATTTTTTTGCAATTTTAGGTTTTAAACCCTAGCAATTCGTTCTGTAACACTTCAAAAGAAGTTTGCTTGCATCATCTTCAATCCCCGAACCCTGTATCTTACCAAAGTCCTAAGTTGAAAGAAAGAGTGTTCATAAGATTTGGGTTTTATTTCTACGAATTGGATGATTTGTTCCAAAAAAACAAGTATCAGCATTATTTTGGTAAAACTGCCTAAAAATTAAGATTGGTAATAAAGATACATACGTATATATATAATTTTTTTCAGTGCCTTCTCCGACAATCCACGTTAAAGCTCTTATGAACAATGTGTCTAATGTTTTACCTCCTTCACCACTGTTGTACCAATACAATGATGTTCCTGAGGATGCTTTTTGTAAGCCTGAGTGTTTTGAGCCCAGCATTCAGAAATCATGTACTTGTTCATTGGTTATTAAAATTAAACTACACTCTGAAGTGACAATGATAATACTTGATACAGGTAAGAACAATTATTTTTACCAGGAAATAGGGATAACTATTAAAATGTAATGTATATATATTTCAGGACCTTACTCAGAAACTGGGTTGCAACATCCATTTCATTTACACGGTTATAATTTCTACATCTTAGATGAAGGCATATTAAATGGAACCACTGAGGAAAAAATGAGGGTGCTCAATCACCGACTTGATCACGATGAAATTAAAAATGACTATGCCATACAAAAAGACACTGTTGGCATACCATCTAGTGGATATGCAATTGTTAGATTTTTTGCTGACAACCCAGGTAATTTGAAGATCAATTCTGTTCTATTAGGTTTGAAATAATTTTAAAAGAAAAATATTAATCTAACATTGCTATAATTATTTCTTACAGGCTTTTGGTTCATGCATTGTCATTATTTATTTCATCTAGACATGGGGATGTCAGCAACTCTACAAGTCGGAGAACTTGAAGATATACCATCTGTTCCTAGCAACATCCCAAAATGTTCCAATTTCAAACCACATATATAAAATTATCATATATAAATTAATAATGAATTATATTTAAAAACAATCTATTTATTTTATTAAAAATATAAAATCTTTCTTGTCTATTTTTTTTTACAATAAATCCTTAAAATAATTTCTTAATATTGTATAAATAGTTTGGAAGTCAATTTTGATTCAGACCATCTATACAATATAAAATTATAAATTAATACTGGTTTGAGGAGTGATCTGCCACAGGAAGTGGAATTTAATTCAGTTATATGGGAAAAGGTATTTTGGGTGTGAGGTTAAAAGATTGGAATTTGGTTTCATTTATTTTTATTCTCCATTTATGGAACCGAGGTTCTAGGAACGAGGTGGTCTTGGAGAGATTGAACTGCTAGGACAGGATTGAAGTTTGCCTAGAAGATTACTGTATCTTCAGCAAAGGGTTTGTGTTGAAGGCCATGTATATGCTGAAAAATAACAGGTGCTCCCTTGAGGAATATCAGAGAGGAGAGAGTGGATCAGAGAGGTTGAGGTTCAGCAGGAACATGGAAGAAACGATCATAGGACGATTGTAGGATAGGATATACAGATGAGATATGTACGAGAAAGGAAAGATCGAGCTTCAGCAGTAGACCCTGGTCCCCAACTTCAGGTTCATCACCCTATAGACCACATGGAGAATTAAAAAAAATTTTTTTTTCCTTTCATCATTTATTTGTAACTTGCATTATTTATTCTTAAGTCAGTTGTTAAACTGAATAAAAAAAATTAACGTATTGTTTTGCCAAAATGTCTAGTTTGTTTCTTCAATGTTCTATCGGCAAAAGTCAAATTAAAGAAATATTTAAGATTTTTTAATTAATTCCATTTGTTTGATTTGGAATATAATACGACATTTTATTGATGTTCAATTCAGTTTAAAGTCAGGTAGATTATAAATTGAAATAAAGATTAGAGGTGAATGAGTTCAACAGCAGGGCAAACAAATGCTGTAATCAATTTCTTAATCCAGCCGTACACTAACCTTAATAATCTTAAACAAGCAGTGTAAAATATTGAACTCGTGGAAGTAATGAATTGCAAGAGATACGTATGGTAAATAAACTACTATGGTCTTGATATCAATTAAATGTATAATATAAAAAATAAGTTAAAAAAAAATTGTCCCCTTTAATATCGAATATTTCATCCTGTTATGAATCACGACGGTTAAACGCCATTGCTTTCCTTAGAAAATTTCTGATAATAATCCTGAAAAATTCTTTCCTATTTATCAAGAACGGACTTTTCTAGGGTGTTAGGATCTGGGTTTTGCCGTCGTACTCGTTGCTTAAGTCCGGCCCAAATGTGTCCGATTGTGTCCAAATCTGGACTTTATGTTTTGGAAATACTTCTGTAAAGTTAGAGATCTTCCTCGCACAATAACCCATTTGGTGTGGAATGCCACCTGAGTAATGATACAGCATGGGGCGTAACATTCTCCTGAGTTATCTATAAGTAGGCCATTAAGCCAATCTGAAGGGTTGAAGCCAACTATTACCACAACTGTAATGAGAAGACGTCCCTAACATTCCAATGTCCAATTCACATGCTCCCATGCCTGGCCATTTTCTGAGATATGGTAAGACGGGGTCCACGAGCCGGGTGCCTGGCCCTGAGGTTATTTTCATTAAGCCTTCTTCTTACAGTCCTGGAGAAAATCGAAACATTTCGGACTTGTCTTATCAAGTTTCCAGTAACTCTGCGCTGTCGAGCCTGATGACAGAAGAATCTATCGTCTGTCTCGTCCGTAGACCTAGGTCTACCCTGTCCTGGCCTTCTAGAGAGTAGCCCTGCTTATCTAAAGCTCGAAGAACCCTTCCTATTGTAGAGTGATTTACACTCAGTCTCCTGGCGACTTCGCGCTGGCTGTATCCTTCCTCTGATAATGACAGTGTCATCAAATGCATGACTGGAGCCATTGAAAAAGGTTCAAGAATAATAATAATTCACTAGTTTTCGTGGTCCGCTTGACCAATTAATTAAGGTTTTTAGTTGAGATAAAAAAGTCAGTGTCACGAGCGGGATTCAAATCCACGATCTACGGCTAGATACATACGTCGCTGCTCTACCACTTGAGCTATCGTGACTTCGATCCGCTCGGGCAGTAAGTTCCCATCTCAAACCCACCTTATGAATTTTCCCTCCTTTTTGCCATTTTTCAAATGTCGTGTAATCGGATTGGATTCTGGACGACAAATGAAATGGCCATGGAGAGCTTTAGTGAAGTATATTTCATTTTAAATCATTAAATTCACTAATTTCTTGGTCCACTTGACCAATTAATTAAGGTTTTTGGTTGAGATAAAAAAGTCAATGGCACGAGCGGGATTCGAACCCACGATCTTCGGCTTGATACGCCGCTGTTCTACCACCTGAGCTATCGTGACCTCGATCCACTCGCACACTAACTTCCCATCTCAATCCCACCTTTTGAATTTTCCCTCCTTTTTGCCATTTTTCAAATGCCAAGTGGTAGAGCAGCGGCGAATCTAGCCGAAGATCGTGGGTTCGAATCCCGCTCGTGACACTGACTTTTTTATCCCAACTAAAACCTTAATTAATTGAAAAATAATAATAATATCAAATGAAATCAACGAAGGAAAATGATTAACTGAAAGCGACCTTTAAGCGAAGCAGAATGGAAGGGCATAATGATACTTTTTGTGCAAATTGGATTGTCAGTACAAAAGTAAATCAGGAAGTAAACAAAGCATTATTTACTGCTTTTTTCGACTACGTCAGCTGCAAATAACCTGTAACTAATAGAGAAAGATAATTAATTTTGAAGAAAATAAAGTAAATCTGTTCATCAGTGTTATTTATGGTATTTCCTTTACTTCAATCGTAAATGTTGCGGAATGTTTCTTGATGTTTCCTGTAGTAATAATCCTTTGATGGCATGTTGTGGAGAAAAAAAAATATTACATGTCAATACTGCCTTGATTTGGACTATTTCCTATGGTTTAACTAATCACCGAGAAAACAGAGTTGCAACTTTCTGACATTTGTGAAATATTGTGGTGAGGTTTGAGAGGTGATGAACATGTGGGTTGATCATAGTGGTCTGCCTATTAGGGCTGAAATTGTCTACAGACTCAAGTTGGGAAAATGCCAAACCAGTGAGTACAGGCAGACCAGGATAATCGTAGCTATTTTGACATTTCCTATAGTTCAATAGTGTAGAGACCACAATTGCATTTTCAAACTATTCACTTCGGCATGCTGTTTCATACTTATCAACAATGTTTTGAACAAGTGTCACCATTCCAATTGATATTTCCTATCATTAAATCAAAAGAAACGGTATTTCTTCAAGGTATTCAAAGCCTTGTTCGTTGAAAAATCCGTCACGGAGAAATGCAGGTATATTTCCGACATTTCCTCGTTCATTCACGAAATCAAACCGGGCCACATCAAAGAGGCGAATTACTTAATGACGCCCCAATAATTTCAATGTAAAGAACACTCGCATAACAATTATTTGCCATACATTCACGCGAGAAAATTCGATAAGACTATTGACTTAAATATAAAAGTGATGATTTCTTTCCCATTGATCTCAGATACACGGGAACAAAGGACGAAGGAGTACATATGGATAAGAAATTATTATCACTGATTATCTTTTTGGCACTCCTGAACGCAGGTAAGGGTACATTCATCTGACTCTTTATTTCAAAAGAGCATTTTCAATCTTAGTTTATTATATACTTTCGTTTTTAGATATCGTATTTGCGTATAGCATTAGTTTTTATCTAATATCTACCTTTAATTTGTGCCTTTACGTATTTTATTACGTGTATATGTTTATTTTTTAGCGTTTGGGAAAATAGCAACTTCATGAGTTTTTATAAAAATTGTTTCTGATTATTCGTGAGATGCGGTCGGTGTGACGTAGGTTATAGAAAAACATTTTCTTTATCGTGCCAACGTTTCGATCTTTATTGAGATCATCTTCAGGGCTCAAGGTGTTTATTTTCTGCGTAATTGTGTCATTCTTGTGTGTCGTGTTGAGAGTGCCCTTAAAATGTTTTTTTTTTTTAATGTATTGTGGCATTATGTATATCGTTAATTCTGGTGTTCGGTTGCGTTAGTGTGGCATTTGTGAAGTTAAAATTAATTAAGGTTTTTAGTTGAGATAAAAAAGTCAATGGCACGAGGGGGATTCGAACCCACGATCTTCGGCTTGATAAGCCGCTGCTCTACCACTTGAGCTATCGTGACCTCGATCCACTCGGACACCAACTTCTATTCTCAATCGCACCTTTTGAATTTTCCCTCCTTTTTGCCATTTTTCAAATGTCGTGTAATCGGGTTGGATTCTCGACGACAAATGATATGGCCACGGAGAGCTTTAGTGAAGTTTACGTCATTTTTAATCATTAAATTCACTAATTTCATGGTCCGCTTGACCAATTAATATGTTACAATCATTTAAAGTTTTTAGTTGAGATAAAAAAGTCAATGGCCCGAGCGGGATTCGAACCCACGATCTTCGGCTTGATACACCGCTGCTCTACCACTTGAGCTATCGTGACCTCGATCCACTCGGACACCAATGTGAAGTTAAAGTTGTTTTTGATGTGAGTAGGAATTACCTTGTGTTTTCTGCATTTCAACAAAAAAGTTCTCTGATTGATAGCCGATGCAAGTTTCTTCTCATTGTTGGCGATGTTCTTCAGAATACTCTTTGCTTGGTGTCCATATGTAGTTCAAATCTGTTTATAGAATCCCATGTTCTTCGTTCTTCTCGTGTGGCGTTTAGTGACCTTTAGCTAATGATTATTCGGAGATCGTGGGATGCGGTCTGGTGTGATGTAGGTTTTAGAAAAACATTTTCTTTATCGTGCCAACGTTTCGATCTTTATTGAGATCATCTTCAGGGCTCAAAGTGTTTGTGTCATTCTCTGCATAATTGTGTCATTCTTGTGTGCCGTGTTGAGAGTGCCCAAAACGTTTTTATAAAACCTATGTCACATCGACCGCATCTCAAGATCTCCGAATAATCATTAACTAACGGTCACTAAACACCACACACTTATTTATTTATGTTGATTTGGAAGCAAATTCATTTAGTGAAAATTAAAATTTAACTTACAATTTAATACCTACATTTGCTGTTAATAACGCGTATTAATATAATATCCTCTGGCCTCGCGGAGGGCTTGAAGTCAACTAGGCATCGAGTAAATAACAGATCGGATTTCTTCTTGTGAAAGATAATACTATTCTTCAACAGAGCGTTTTGAAGCTGTTCAACGCTTGTTGGAGACGTCGAACATCCTTGTGGTAATCTCTATGTCCTTCAAGTAATGGGTGACAACTCGAGTCACATGCACTGACACGACGTTTTCCCGTCCTCGGGATAAATGGAGCGAATGGGACCACAGCTTCCAGAAGAACTCCATCAATGTACCTTGTGTAGTCAAGATCTATTCTGTATGAGTTCTGTTGATTCCACCCCAAACCAAAACTGACTGTTTGGAATAGGCTGTTACTATGGCACATGAAGTAAAGCGTTCTTGTGTGCCTTCAAAGTTTACCACTCGATTACATTCAGTGTGGCCAGAAAGTTCGATAATATTTCTATGATAGGGCCCTTCGACAAGAATGCAATACGACAAGAATGTTGAAGAAACCTCTCGAATCAACAACAAAGTATTATTTCTTCGCCAGCTAGCTTTATCCAGAAAACCCTGACCACATTTTTGAAATGTTGCATCATCATTAAGTTTAGAGGAAGGTATTTCATAATAGAAATAATCATCAAACTGAATTCCATCAATATCATAATTTCTAACCAACTCAGCAACAATACTGGTGATCCAATTACGAACTTCTGGTTAAACTGGATCAAACACACAACGTCGTAAGCAGTGCGTATCCAATCTTTATGTAAAGCATAAACACTAGCAGGTGGATAAGAAAGTGTATTTTGCAGTGATGCAAAATACGTTGAATAGTGCTCAACATTGATCGGCTATATTCATGCCTTGCTGATTTATACATTGCTGAAGTAGATAAAGGAGTTTTTTTCATTTTCACTCATATCGTCAGGTAAATCTGTTGCTGGTACCAAGACGTGGTATAAACTCATATCAAAATTAACCTCACCGATAAGCTGCATTGTTTTCTGAAAATCCACTTCTTTTCTCCAAAAGGGCCCGGTCATCCGATTTCCACTAACCAACCAGCACATATCTGTGAAGAGCACAGCCTTCCAGTGTTCAAGTCTCCAAGCGAGATGTTGATTTAGGAATAGTGCCTTTCAACTCGATATCTGTCCAGATAGTAGACATGCTGGAGGTCCAGAGACTAGTCTATTCTCACGAAGCCTTCTGATGACTGTTTTAGATAGATCTCACCCTTACATTATGGCAGCAGGCAGAGTATTTTGTAAAGTAGTCAGTCGCTTACCACTAAGAGGTACCGGTTCTGCTTCTTGGAGAGTGGTAAGGGTCCCATTGTATCTGTGGTCACTACCTGCCAACGCACACTTGTAACACTTGTCCGTTTCCCATCATGCCGGCCAGAGCTCATTGCGAAGGTCTGTGACCGTTGCACGTCTAGCACTGGGCCACAAAATATACCACTTCAGCGGCCATACCTGGCCAATAATGCCCTTCCCTGATGCGCTGCAACGTCTTATACGTTCCCAAATGTCCCGATATTTCACTGTCGTGAAACTGCATTAATGTGATCGTCCACGGGCGATGATCTCCAAGATTTTCCCAGTAACAGTCACCCTCCGGTTTTGAGTTGACATACCTATCTAGGAAGACGTTAAATGACGGTTCCGTAATGCAAGAGCAATAAAGCGATCGTCGTACATCGTATCTATCAATACCTTTTCTTCGTTTGATTCCTTCTTCTACCATCGAGCTAGGTTCAGGACCCTACGTTCATCAATTGCATTACTACACTTAAAATAAGTAGAATAAACTGCACAAACTCATTTTTGCCTCAATTATTTTCTTGGTCGGTTTGTTATTTGGTCAATTTTTCTGACATATTGCCCCAGAATAAAAAAACGAAAAAACCAATAACTTTTTAGTTAAATAATGGTGTTCTACGACTAGATAACTCGGACACTGATCACTTTCTAGGGTGCATCTATTCACGCTGGTTTATGTTGTACACATACCTATTTAAGCTTCAATCTATCTGAGTTAGGTTAACCATTAATAATATTTAAAAAAAATATAAATGAGTCTTTTTTGCTTACTGATGCCATGTGTTTTGATCTACGTATTATTTTTTTTTCTTGTAGGATCGTGCAAAGACGATTCGCTCAGACAGTACTTGCAGCCGAGTGATGTCCTTTCGGGAGCGTACGACGAGACGTACCTCTCGACAAATTCGTCCCTCTGCACAAGGCAATGCACCGGAGCCAGCAAGATCTGCTATTACGAATTTTTCACGGAAATGTACAGCTCGATGGGACTGTGAGTACTTCGAAACAGGTCTCGAAATAGTTTTACGGAGGATTTATTCTGTTTTCAGTGCTTGCAAAGATTGCCCTTTCAACCGGGAAGATTGCTTCGCGCCGCAGTGCGTCACAGTCGATGGTGTGCCCAGGGGAATTGTGACCTACAATAGGATCTTTCCAGGTCCTTCGATTCAGGTTAGTATCAATTTTAATCGAAAATGCATTAAGTGCAATTTAATTTTATTTTGTGTAAAATGTTGAAATCCCAGAGATAATACACGATCAAACAGGCAAAGGAAAGTACAACTGTCCTTCGCCTTGCAAACATTCAACGTAATTTAACCGTGATCTGATATTTAAACACAGATTGTTCAATCGCTTGCGTAATAGATATACAAAGGTAGGTAGATCAATAATTAACCTTTATTGTTAAGGAAATACAAAAACGACGCAGCAAAGAGAAAATAAATACATAGAGATCTTATCCTCTCGAGAAATAGCGATATAGGTGTGTGAGTGAGATCATGCATGTATGTGGTTAGTTTTCAATGAAGCGATATTTTAAACGAGAAAAAGCAAAATTCATGTCATTTCTGTTTCGATTGAAAATGTTCACAAACCTAGACAGAGCCATTATTCATGTAATAACGATCAATTATGTTCCACAAGTTCTGACATTTCCTGACCCTAGGTCAACAGTTTCAACTGATATTATATGCGGATTTGAAAACGCTAGATATAAACTTTTTAACACGCCTTCTGGACTACGTTTAAGATTTTTGTTGTTAGTTTAATTGGCTATATTTTTGGTAAAAGTAAACTGTGGCCTTTACTGTTCAGCCGCTTTTTTTTGTGAACATGCTCCACCCTACATAATTTGGGGTACAAATTGTTAATCAACATTGATATATTAATTATTTATTTAATTTTTTTACGAGGGTTTGCAACAGCAGAGGTCATATAAACCCTCAGGGTGTCGGTGTTTTTGGAAAAGAGCCCATTTGTAAGTATGTCGGGTTCGAATGCAGGGCCGCTGGATTCGAACCCGGGACCTTCACCTTACAGTGATGAGCGCCGTGTCAACGCCTAAACCGTTGCGGCCACCGACGCCCCTATTGATATATTAATCCAGACAAAACTGATAGCGTATATGAAGCAAGTCTTTTATAGATAAAAAGATTTATAGATCAACATTTTTAAAGCAAATTCTGTCGAATTTAGTGTAAAAAATTTAGTGTGTAAGATTTAGTGGTAGCATAGTCTTTTAGAAAATAACAAAGTGATAAACTGTCAATAAAATCTTTTTTTAAAGAAAATTCTTAGTTTTTCATAAAATTACAGTACAGTTTTGTTAGAGTTATAAATAATTAGGAGGAGATCAACCCTGACTGCTCTCTAGAAGGCCAAATCCTGAAAATGAAACTTAAATACTTTGGCCACCAAATGAGAAGTAATGACTCACTGGAGAAGAGCCTAATGCTGGGTAAGATTGAGGGCAAAAGAAGAACGGGGCGACAGAGAATGAGGTGGATGGACGGAGTCACTGAAGCAGTCGGTGTGAGCTTAAACGGACTCCGGAAGATGGTGGAGGACAGGAAGGCCTGGAGGAGCATTGTACATGGGGTCGCGATGGGTCGGACACGACTTCGCAACTAACAACAACAACATGTTGTTTTGGGTAAAATTTGATATTTTTCTTGACATCATCACATTCAATAATAAAAAAACTTTTTAACAGTAGCATTCCGTCAATTTTATACTCTGTTATGTTCATATTTCGATCGTCTTTACAGTGAGGTGCCTAAAGAAGAATGTTTGTATAGGATAATGTACAGCCGTTATTGTTATGTCAAACCCTGTATGTATTTAAAAAATCTTGCACATGAATATTCACATTATGTCATTACAAACTGTTTTTTTATTGATTATTCGGAAATCGTGAGATGCGGTCTGGTGTGATGTAGGTTTCAGAAAAACATTTTCTTTATCGTGCTACGTTTCGATCTTTATTGAGATCATCTTCAGAGCTCAAAGTGTTTGTTTTCTGTGTAATTGTGCCATTCTTGGGTGTCGTGTTGAGAGTGCCCTCACATCACACGACACGCAAGAATAGCACACTTACGCAGAAAACAAACACTTTGAGCCCTGAAGATGATCTCAATAAAGATCGAAACGTTGGTACGATAAAAAAAATTGTTTTTCTGAAACCTACATCACAGCAGACCGCATCTCACGATTTCCGAATAATCATCGACTAACGGTCACTAATCACCACACTGTTTTTTATGTTATGTACACTCAGTCAGAACCGTAATACTACGTCCATCGCTACTGCTCTCGGTAGACACGTGTCGTAAGGAACTAGCCAATGCAGGCACTAAGTCGGTTATCGGAATGGCGAGGTATCAGGGTTATCGTCGTTGGATGCGACACAGAGTTCTTTGGATGGGACGTAGTAGAGAAAACTTGAGCCGTAGGGTTAGGATGGATTGAAAGATTAAAGTGAATCTTTAGGAAAACGGAACGGATCAGTTCCATGCAACTGAGCAACTAAGGAAATTGTAAGTTCCAAGACCCTGTCAAAAGCTTGGGGCTTGTCTTTGAAAAACACAAACAACCGTCAATAATACTGAATCATTGCCGAATCGCGGAAAGACTATTACGAGTCCAATTGATGAGCACGGATAAATAAGGAAAGGAAGGAAGAAAGGAGTTTTTCGTGGATTTTGGACAATACGCGGATAAGGTAGATAGGCTTGGAGGACAATTCGTTGCTGGGAAGGTTGTAAAGTTTAGGTATGGAAGTAATTATGGAATATTTCCATTGTAGAGGAAAGTAAGAGATTACTTGAGTTGAATTATAAATGATATAAATGCGTAAAAAACAACAATGTTCTTTCTGTGGGACGTTTGATAGCAAGATCATTTTTGGAGTATTTTCTCTAAATATTTTCTAAAAAACTTAGGATTTTTTTATTATTTAGGGTTATATTTTGAACGTTTAAAAAAGATAAGAAAAGTTGGTGTAGTTTATGCTGCACCCTGTATAATTTAAATCTATTGTATTATTAACTAAGCATTTTCCTACTCAGTTGTTTTATTTGGCTGTTCCTATATTCTTCATTAAATGTATTTTTTTAACTATTCAAAAAAACATAAATTTGGGTCTTAGAACTTGAGTTTATATGGGCATAGTCTATACGAATTACGTCTGCAGAATGTTTAATTAAATTATATGTTTTCTTAGGTTTGTAAAGGGGACGTCATTGTAGTAGACGTACACAACCATCTCCCATCCGATTCAACCAGCATCCATTGGCACGGGATTCGTCATAAAAACTCACCATATTATGACGGAGTTCCCAAAGTCACTCAATGCCCTATCCATCCAGGAACTACTTTTAGATATATTTACAACGCTTCTGAGGAAGGGACGTTTTTCTACCATTCCCATTCGGGTAAAAAAAACCTCGATTTCTATAAACTGGCATGTTAAACGTTGGTCGATTCAGGTTTGCAGAAGGTAGACGGCCTGTCGGGCACTTTGATTGTGAGAGAGAAAAAAGAGGATGAGCACATCTCACACCTTTACGATTTCGACCTTCCTTCTCATACAGTGATGGTGAGCGACTGGATGCATCTGGATTCCGGACAATTTTTACCAGGGATAACGAACGAACGCAGCCTTCCCAAATCTTATTTGGTCAACGGAAGGGGAATTTTTGCAGTAAGTTTAACCAGGCGTGATCTGACTCGAAGCAAAATGTTTACTTTTTGTTATTTTAGCCAACAGGTCAAAGTGTAAACATTGACCAGGGTTCTTTACCTTTAACGGAATTTACAGTCAAAAAGGGAAAAAGATACAGGTTCCGACTCATCGGCGGCACCTGCCTGGCTTGTCTCGCGGCAGTAACATTTTTGGATCATCGCGTTTCTGTCGTTTTCGGTGATGGAGCGGGACCCGTTGAACCGACACTAGTGGACAAAATCGTACTAAATTCAGGTATAGTTTTCATTTAATTATCCTTACTGCATAAAAGTATAAAAAGTCAATCTTTCCAGGCGATAGGTTTGACGTTATTCTAGAAGCCAATCAATCAGTTGATACGTATTGGATCATGGTGAGAGGTCTCGGAGGCAAAAACAGCTCCACTAGTTGTTACAATGCACAACAATTTGCTCTGCTCAAGTACGAAGGGCATAATGGCAAACCCTCCACCCCCTATCCTGGAACAGCAGACGTTCCAGAAGGAATAGTAAGGAATTTTAAACTAAATACACTGTGTTTAGTAATTTCTGATCATTTTGGTCTGCCTAAGTACAGAAAGTGAGTTTCACGAATTTATAAAAAGTTACTAAAAAGACCCGACAAAATATATATCACACATGCCCTGTAATGAAGATGGCAACAAGACGAAACGCGTCTGATAGACCATTACTTTTTTTAGGGAGTTCGCAACATCAGAAGTCATATGAAACACCCGTGGTTTCGGTGTTTTTGAAATTGAACGAAATTTTGGAGTATCTTCAAAAGATAAATGCTAAAGGAGTTTAACATTATATGTATACAACTGTAAAGCCAGAAATACTTACCCGATGCTACGCTACCCGATGCTACCCGACGCAAATCCAAACTCCGATTTTCCATAAGGTTGCATTACCCCCGTGCACATCTACCCGATGCTATGCCACGCTAACCTACCCGACGCTCTGAGATCCCCTCTGTCCAGATTTTCGTCGGGTCGCATCGAGTACAGTCGAAGACAAAAGAACCGGACACTCATATTTTTATTCAAACTACATGTATTATTGTCGTTATATTAATTACAACATACTTATTTTAATTAACCAAATTAACTGTGATTAAAAATTAATTAGTTTTTATTTAAAAAATTAATTTTAATGGTTTGGTAGAAAATTAATCAAAACACCGGAATACGATTTTTTGATATAATGAATTTAACTAACAATTTATTGTACTCGCTTCGGCGGTACATATACTAAAATTGTAACAATTTATTACACGGTTTTGCTCATAAAATTTAATTAACAATTTATTTCATAGTTTTACTCGTAAAATTACACCATTTTCTAATGTCGGGTAGCATCAGAACAGGACACTCATATTTTTTGTAGTTTATTTCAAACTAAGTACATGTAATTTTGTCGTTATATTAATTACAACGTTATTTTAATGTAAACCAAATTAAACGAGATAAAAAATGCATACGTTTTTATAAACATTGTTAAATTATGATGGTTAGGAAGAAAATTTATCAAAACACCAGAATAACTTTATTTAAAACAATTAAGTTTAACAAACAATTTATTAGATGGTTGTGCTCATAAAATTTAACTAACAATTTGTTACAAGGTTTTGCTCAAAATAGTGCATTAAGAACAAATGATGCGTTGCGATTATGATAATGATTATTGTGATAAACGCTATGGACTGTACGCGACGTGTACTTGCGTCGGATAGATGTGACACCCCACCAAAACGTGGCAAGGCGTCGGGTAGCGTCGCATGGCGTAGCATCGGGTAAGTGTGTTTCTGGCTTTCATCGTACACTTAAAATACCCCAGATATGCTTTGACGAACGTTTAACATGGAAAGCACACATACAAGATATGTGCAAAAAAAAGGTACATATTTTTTCTCAAGCTGCTAGGCTAAACACAGTCTATAAAGGACCTTTCAGCTGCTTATTTATGCAGTGCCAGTATGGTTCACAACACTTCAAAAATAATATAAACATGTGCTGTTATTAAGAAGAGCTTAATGCTACTGAGAGTCATTAAAGGATACAAAACAATATCATATGTAACATCATGCATTTCAGGATAAATTCCAATAGAAATTAAAATAAGAAAAATTGTGGAAAGATATAAACTGAAGCAGGAAAATGCAATCTACTTTTGGCTAACTAAATGAGAATGGCCAAACCCAACCGAAACAAGGAATTTAAAAGGAAAGAAAGTTGAAGATTGCCATATATTCACTAACTTTGTGTCGTACAGAGATGGAATACTGGAATGCCACAAGAGGAAATCACACAATCAGGCTGAATAATTAGCTACAATTATTCATAACACAATAAAGTAACGCGGAAATTTCAGGACAGTAGAGCTGTTTGAGTTTTTGTTAATAATCTAAACCCGGTAAGAACTATTGTTTCTCCATTTTAGTACTACAAATAATAGGTAATAAACTCATTTCCCGGTTCTAGGTTACTTTCTCCACGGTTGTGTTGTAAGTACTAAATAATTTTTACTTTACAACGGGAAAATGTTGATTCTCAGTCTGTTAGCAGTATCGTGGTTTCGCCGGCTATTTGCAAAACTTCTAAACATCCTATCTGCTTTCGAATTCCTTAACAATCTTGGATACCGCGATCCCGTTTACGACTAAATATTGACCACTTTTGAAACGAAAGCAGGAATTGGTTTCTTAATTGTAAACTGCATTATATGCTTACATATGAGTTATCAATTACTGGTCGTAAAGCCAGAATAACATTTCCAAATGACTTTACAAGAATTTATTGTTGTAATAGTTATACTATAACAATCTTGTTTTCATAAGTTGTGATATGAAATCAACATTAAAAACATAAGTATGTAGAGATATTATATCCAAACTAGTCCGTGAATTAGAATGAAATCAAAATGAAAATGAATGAATGAAAATGTAAAATCAAATCCAAAAATCATCTAACATTGTCATAGGGGAATTTGGGCTAATTCGGCAGACAAAGTAAAAGAGGATCTGCAAGAACCTTTATACGACCAGAATTTATAATTGGGATAACGACTTCAGATGCAACATACAGAGAAGTGGACAAACTATAGCAATGCCAGACAGTAAATTTATTTTCGTCTAAACTAGTAACACAGGATAAAACGGTATCAAGATCTTGAAAAACCTGGGAAAACATAAGTCTCAGGTAATTATTCAGAAATCGTGAGATGCGGTCTGGTGTGATGTAGGTTTCAGAAAGACATTTTCTTTATCGTGCCAACGTTTCGATCTTTATTGAGATCATCTTCAGGGCNCGAGAGACGTGTTTGTGGAAACCCTTCAATCTGACGATGAGCTAAAGGGCTCGAAATCCGGATTGTTGCGAAACAACTTAATGTGAGTAGGAACCATCTTTTTAAAAAGGACTGAACAGACTATGTAAACTACCCAAACGCTTCCAACGCAAGTACAACCAATCTGGATTTGCTGAACGAACAAGCGTTCCAACCTTTAAAGAATCCAGTTACAAAATGCTTCGAACCTCCAAATATCGAAATACCTTTTTTATGTACGTACAGTACTACATGTTGCTTTATTTAAGTCTTATGGCTTGAAATTTTGAGGTTGGAAACGTCATTGGTAAAAGTAATTTTAATAAACTATATATACTAAACCCTCTTTACTGTTATGAAGTGCGGGTTATCTATTTAAACAATAGAAGGGGCTTTTTGCGCACGTTTTATGTACTTTATTTGAGCAATTTTATGTTTGCAGACGCTGAACCCAGAAAATTCGTCATGCAATGATCCCAACGAAGTTTGTCTCACTCATCTTCAATCATTTACTCCTTTACCGGAAGATTTGAAGGGCAAACCGGACGAAATATTATTTGTCCGGTTTTCTAATTACCGTTACGAATTCAGCGACCTGTTCGAGAACGGTACCTTCCAACCATTTTTCGGTAACTCTTTTAAATTTTAAAAACCTCTCTTGAAATAACTCTGGGTCCTAAAACTATTTATTTACAGTGGTCAGTCCGGCTGGAGGCCCGATTAAATCACTAGTAAACAACGTGATGAACTTCTTGCCACCTTCACCGTTGATGAGTCAGTATGAAGACGTTCCCAATAGTTCGTTTTGTCGCCCTGAATGCTATTCAAAAGACATCCAGAAACCCTGCACCTGTCTGAACGTTCTAAAAGTCAAGCTGAACTCAGTCGTCGATGTAATTCTCACTGGTAATATTTTATTTTCAATCAACCTAGCAAATTATTAAAATAGAATATGCCGTAATGTGTGGTGATTAGTGACCGTTAGTCGATGATTATTCAGAAAATCGTATGATGCGGTCTGGTATGATGTAGGTTTCAGAAAAAGATTTTCTTTATCGTGCCAACGTTTCGATCTTTATTGAGATCATCTTCAGGGATTTACAAACATTGTTTAAATTTACCAAAAACATGTAGGATGAGGAAAAAAGTGAATTTATACAATGCAAACAAAATATTTTTTTAATATATTCAATCCCCTGAAGATGATCTCAATAAAGGTCGAAACGTAGCACGACAAAGAAAATGTTTTTCTGAAACCTACATCACACCAGACCGCATCTCACGATTTCTGAATAATATGTATGTTTTTATTATTTAATAATGACTTTCGCCTGTAAAAATGGACAGAATGATCACAGTAGCAATTTTTGACGATGGCCGATCTTTAACGATGTAAAAAAACCCAAGGTTTTAAGTGTATTTTTCTTAAAATTTTTTAATTGCCAGGCTTGTTTTTCCATGGCAATTAATTTTAAAAAATTTAAAAAGTAGAGTAATAGCTGCGATAGTTGATTTTTTAGTCTAAAAATTCTGTTGGCCTCCGAGTCGTTTTGTCATTTTCGTTATTGGCTCATTCCAATAGAATAATAATGATCAGAGCCAAACAAACTTGAAAATGTTTTAAAGGTGTTCTTTTTAATAATCATTGATTTAATGAACCAATCCAAGATTTAGATTACATTTATTCCGTATTAATTGATAGTATAAATCCAGAATATTTTTTAAATTTTTCAAAGGAACCGGAGTTGCACATCCTTTCCATTTACACGGTTACAATTTTTACATCATGGAAGAGGGCTCGTTGGAAGGCGACGTCGAGAACGGATTGAAAAACTTAGTTAAAAGGTTGATGAAAGGAGACTGGCACAATTCAAAACCGATTCAAAAGGACACCGTCGGCGTGCCACACAACGGTTACGTTGTAGTCAGATTTAAAGCCGATAATCCAGGTGAGAGTGATAAAGTTATACAAACTCCAGATAAGAATGAACGCACCGAGATAAACATTCGAAAACGATCGACGATTGACGTAAGCCAGAACTTAACATTTTTAAATTTTTTCAAGCTCAAAACTAGTTGTTTTGAAATCGAGGCATCTACTCAAAAAACAGACACCGATGGCATATATGTAGATACAAAAATTTTCTTTCAATTGATATGACGTATTTTTCTTTTTAAAATATATAATGATTGTTTTTTTAAAATCCATTAGGTTTCGTGGTCCGATTGACCAAATTTATTTTTTTCAATTAATTAATCTTTACTATTGGTTGGGATAAAAAAGTCAGTGTCACGAGCGGGTCTCGAACCCATGACCTTCGGCTAAATACGCCGCTGTTATACCACTTGAGCTAGAGTGACGTCGATCCCCTCAGACACCAAATCCCCATCTCAACCTACAGCGATTTAAATTTTCCCTCCTTTTTGCCATTTTTCAAATGTCGTGTAATCAGGATGGGATTCTCACAGGATGGGGTAGGTTGAGATGGGGAGTGGATGGAATGGATGGAGTGGATCGAAGTCACGATAGTTCAAGTGGTAGAGGAGCGGCGTATTTAGCCGAAGGTCGTGGGTTCGAATCCCGCTCGTGACAATGAATTTTTATCTCAACCAATACCTTATTTAAAGATTAATTAATTGAAAAGACTTTTTTAAAATGTTAAAACAGCCTACCTTTACACACTTCCTCATCTTTTAGTCCTATCTGGCAGACTTCTCACACCAAAAACATTTTGTTCATTGTTAACCTTTTCTGGCTAATATTAAAAAAAAAACTAAACTCTTCCAAAACAAATACTTTTTAAAGTTAAAAGTGACCTGAACTATAAAGCCTCTAAATTAAGGTTATAATTTATATACTGCATTTTACTTTTTTAATATATACACACATGAATGAAAGAACAAAGTTTTTCCAGGATTATTGACAGTTGTTTTGTCTGCGTTGACAGTAATGTTAATACATTTAAATAAATTTTAGGTTTGTGGTTCTTCCATTGTCACTTTCTCTTTCACCTGGACAGCGGGATGAGCGGCATTTTGCAAGTTGGTGAGCCTTCGGATTTTCAACCAGTGCCGGAAGGATTTCCTAAATGCGGCGACTTCCTACCGCCATTGCCTGCGTAAAAGAAAATTGTTTATGGATTATCCAAAAGTGACTGACATTAATAAACTGTATAATAATAAAAAATACATTATTATTTTGTTTTTAATTTTTTTACTTTACGAAACTAGCTGTAAACCACGTTTTCATAGGCTGGATGGTTGTTTCTGCAAAATTTAATTCCTACCGACTAATAAACTTGCAGTATCTTTTTTTTAATACTGCAATTTTTATTATTATTTACGTTCATATTGGCAAATTGATCTCTAAGTTTTGATTCGGTAGAATTTTTTCAACAGACATGCCGATTCTTGTTATCGAATCCCTCTCAATCCATAGAGCTCTCGAGGAGTTTCTTTCACTATCTTTTATAGGTATTGATTGATTTTATAGGTATAGGTTGAATAATAATTCAACTGTACATTATAAAACGAAACTTACTCTATGTCATCATTATTCCATTTTCAGTTTTAAGAAGTTTACCTTCCCAACACATTATCTAGAAAAAAGTTAATAAGAGTATGAAGGCGTCAAGTTATAAGTTTAAAAAATGACGTTTTTTCATAGGTTTTTGTTGTTGGGAAATTCAACATTTTTCAATTACGGTTTTAAAACCATGTTGACGACATTCCCCTAAACAAAAAAAGGGGGTGGAAAAATAATATATACGTATCATTAAATTCACTAATTTCGTCGTCCGCTTGACCAATTAATATATTACAATTAATTAAGGTTTTTAGTTGAGATAAAAAAGTCAATGGCCCGAGCGGGATTCGAACCCACGATTTTCGGCTTGATACGCCGTTGCTCTACCACTTGAGCTATCGTGATCGTCGATCCGCTCGGATATCCCATCTGCCATTGACTTTTTTATTGCAACTAAAAACCTTAATTAATTGTAATATATATGTATCATTGGCATAGTCCACGTATAAATACTTTTATTTAAAAACAATTGGAAATTACTGATGGGTGTGCCTTCAGATTGAGAATTATACCTTGAGATTTCTCTATGTTTAGTTGCTGATGATTGGCCAGGAACCCGAAACACCATGTAAGTTACTAAATTGAATAAAGGTTTTCAACCACGGAGAACTTGGAATTTTTCGACATATCAAAAGACATTTTTTCCATAAAATAAAACTCAACCACTGGACTGTTAGTTAACTGGATGTCTTATTATATATTAAGTTTTATACACGAAGTACAGCACCATTAATAAAAATTAAATTAACCAATAAATACATATTACTAATTGGTACATTAGCATCAAAAATTGTAATAGTGGTAAGCGCTTTAACTGAATATTCTTCTATTTCAACTTTCTAAATACCCGAAAATAAATATCTAAATATATGCCCTATTTTAGTGTAATTATTTATTAAAAGTAGAAATGATTATGCCCTTTTGCATTAAACTTGTGTGTATTGCCGAACTCTATTACTGATTTTCCTGGAAGATTTTCGTTATTTTAAGGAGGTAGAATTTTTCTTACGGGTATAGTACGGATGTAATGTGTCAATTTGTGTTGTGCCAATCGAATAGTTTTCCTAGGTACTATAGTCATTAACTTTATAGAAAATGTACTCTACCGTCTGTTTCCTCTTAAGACGTACGCGATCTGTTCATTGTCCCCTTTTTCAAGCTGTAGTTTATTCGTACTTAGGATTTTTAGTTGCTTTCTGTTGAGAAAGATTTTTTTTATCATTCTTCCACTGAATGTACTTGCGAAGTTGCCAGAAGTCCATGGCTTACCTCATTCCTGATGTTTCATAATTTATTATTGTTTATAAGTGTTTTTATTATACAGGTATATATACAATTTACATAAAAAACTGTTTTTTTTCTGTTCTTCAAAAACAGAAAACTGCCAAGATTCCTATCATTTGTTGTATTATTTACTAACTCAAGATTCCACTTTAAAAAAAGTTTTATTCAGCTTTTATTTGAAACGTTGACACGATAAAGAAAATGTTTTTCTGAAACCTACATCACTCCAGACCGCATCTCACGATTTCTGAATAATTAGATATTTAGTAGTTTCAAGACCGATCTTGAATTGTTCTTGTAGGCTTGAAGAATTTTTCCAGTTTCCTCACACTAAAGTATGATGAATTTTCTTCATAAAATTTTAAAATTAACCAAAATAAACTTTGAAATTAAAGGTGAGATGATGTATCGATCTGCTTGTTGAACAACTTGAACAGAAGGATCTTCGGTGAGGTCACAATAGAAAAGGCAATTTTTTAAGTTTTTGCCGATTTTTCGACAATTATATCGTCAATTTCCCACTTATATAGGGATGATGAAGAGATAATCGTCGAAATGTCGGCAGAAACTTAAAAAATTGACGTTTCTGTTGTGACCTCACCGTAGACTTTGAAGTTTCTAAGTCCTGCGAAATGCACGTCCTAGTCTAATACGTTTTAGTGACTTGCAGTTTTTTTTTCTGTGTTCAATGGTCCGCTTTTCTTTGGCCGTTGTATATTATATTTCTTTGGGAAATTAGGATTTTCTGGAATTTGTTTAATATATCTTTGGTTTTCTTCGGAAACAAATAACTTTTAAGAAAGCATGTCATTCCGAATTCAGATAGAACGGGATATTGGGAAAATCTTATAGATAGGCAAGTGGTGAAAATCTTGAACATTGAACATGGTACAATTAATTAAGGTTTTTAGTTGAGATAAAAAAGTCAATGGCACGAGCGGGATTCGAACCCACGATTTTCTGCTAGGTACGCCGCTGCTCTACCACTTGAGCTATCGTGACCTCGATCCACTCGGACACCAAGTTCCAATCTCAACCCCCATCTTTTGAATTTTCCCTCCTTTTTGCCATTTTTATCTCAACTAAAAACCTTAATTAACTGTAATATATTAATTGGTCAAGCAGGCCACGAAATTAGTGAATTTAATGATTTAAAATGAAGTATACTTCACTAAAGCTCTCCGTGGCCATTTCATTTGTCGTCAAGAATCCAATCCGATTAAATGAAATTTGAAAAATAGCAAAAAGGAGGTAAAATGCAAAAGATGGGGGTTGAGATGGGAAGTTAGTGTCCGAGTGGATCGAAGTCACGATAGCTCAAGTGGTAGAGCAGCGGCGTATCTAGCCGAAGATCGTGGGTTCGAATCCCGCTCGTGACTTTTTTATCTCAACTAAAAACCTTAATTAATTGTACCATGTTCAATGTTCAAGATTTTCACCACTTGCCTATCTATAAGATTTTTCCTATATCCCATTCTATCTGAATTCGGAATGACGTGCTTTATTAAAACTTATTTGTGTTCAAAACATTTTTCTGGCACTATTAGAAAAACCTAACGGGCTGATAACTTGGTCAGATATGCCAAATTTGCATACATTGCTCTGTAGGGCTTATAAGCATGTTTTGTTATATTAGGTGAAATATTTTGTTTCTTAGACTTTAATGAGGTGAAATCACTTATCTGCAAATGAGTTTTATATATACTTGAAGTCTTATAGATTTGTGTATATGCTGGTGCTATTTTTTTTGGCATGTAGAAATCTGGATTTGGAAATAATTATTATCGCCTTGGTTAAAATGATTTTACCGTAACTGTTTTTTTTAAAATGTGGTATGTTAAATACCAGTTGTCTATATATTTTTTATAAGCGTTTTGAATATACGGCAGGAGAAGGAAAATAGCAGCATTATACAGTCAGTTACTTATCACACCATGAGCAAAATCGAGGCAATGATATACTCTTAGGCTCAATAAAATGTTTATAGTGTATTATCTCTTGGCCTCCTTGCTCCATTTCATTAGATAGTGACTTTCCAGTGGTTTGAAACCGGTTGATGACGGTCCTTTAACACCTTTTATTTTCTTACCAATCACTTGCCTTTTTGAGAATAAAAGGAATCAGCTATTAATCCTTCTAATTCTAAGCTTTAAGAAAAATCTTATTCACTTACTGACCTTGTGACAAGGACGGAAAAGAAATCAGACGGGCGTTCTTTCCTAAAACCGCTTGCACAACCCACTCTGCCTTAGCCGCTTTTGAATTGAATTTATTTCCCCGATTGTTTCTTTAAAAACGTTGCGTGTTCGCGTCTTTTCGAAGTTTTAATCACGAGGCACAATGTGTCTTTGAAACGCGTTTTAATGAAGTGAATGAAGTGCTGGTATCTCTTGTATCTTTCATCATAGGTTAAAGCTAATTGGATTTATTCATGAAAGTGTTGATTATTTTTCGAAAGACGAGGAACAATTTTTGCAAAACAAGGCAATCAAAGAACAACAACAATGAATGCCAATGTGTTTTCGAGACTTATAAACGAGTTTTAAAACCGTATGATTTTTGAACAATTTGAAACATTTGATAAGGGTCAGTTTGATATCTGAAGACAGAGCGATGCATTAAGTGAATACAATTTATAACGATTATTTAAAGTAATTATACGTTATATACACTAGGTTGTTACGAAAATTATTTGTCTATAAAGATACATTTATGTAGATATATTAAAAAAAAAATCCATCCCGAACTATCATGACTTCGAATCCCGCTCGTGGCACAAACTTTTTCATTTCTACCAAAACCTTATATAAAAAAGATAAATTAATTGAAAGAAGCAATTTGGTCAATAGACCACTAAATATAATGGATTTAATAAGTAAAACGAAGTATAACTTCACCAACAGCGCAAAATTGCAAAAAGGAGGGAAAATTCAAAAGGTGGGGTTGAGATGGGAAGTTAGTGTCCGACTGGATCGATGTCACGATAGCTCAAGTGGTAGAGCAGCGGCGGATTTAGCAGAAGGTCGTGGGTTCGAATCCCGCTCTTGGCGCTAACTTTTTCATTTCGACCAAAACCTTACATAAAAAAGATTAATTAATTGAAAGAAGTGGGTTGGTCAATAGACCACTAAATATAATGGAGTTAATTAGTTAGTCAACAGTTAATTATTGATTTTGTGCTTAAAAACCCGCGTTTCGCCGACACTTGGGTATGTAACCTAGCCGGTTCCTAAACTTATCTAGCATAGCCTAACTGACCTTAGCTCTAACCCAAATATAACCTACCCATTCTTAACTCAAACATAACCCTTCCCAACTTTACCTAACCCGCCAC